CCACAGTGCGCAGACCACGCTGCCACCGCTCTCCCTGAACATTCAAAGCATTATGGGAAATGTGCTGCCCTTGCATGGTGAGGAACTCATAATAACATAAAAACAACACGGTGCAGTCACATGGTGCGGCGCGCATCTCATTTTTCAGCTTTTACAAGGAGGTCCTTTATAGTGGGGTCACCAACAGAGCGTGACGACTTCCCTTGAGCGCACACCGGTGGCTTGTAAGTGATAGAGATGCATCTCCACTCAGTGGAATGAATTAGGCTCTGTAGCACTTATCCTGTCAGACCAATACCAGACGCACCCACCGGTGCTGTTAGGCAATGTCTAGAAATGCTTGAATTTGGGCTTGGAGTTTTTTTTTTCCATCAGGTAACTGCAGATTTTATAGATGTCACTCAAGAGCTCCATTAGAGTAGGAATTGATAGCCCTAGAAGGTTAGAGTTAACTGTTTCGCAATGTGCATCACTGTGCAGGTAACAATCGTGAATGTCGGTGACTGGAGAGTAGCAATGGCAGGCTTGGCGTGATAACTGTGATTGTAAAGCTGTGATTGAGGTCCCAATAATAGTGGTATAAAGGCAAGTCTGCGGGTAAGTACCTCTTGACAGCACACAGAGCAATGTCAAATGGAAAAGGGAAAGTCTCACCAAGTTAGAAGACATTTTTAACCAGGAGAGATTTTCAACAATTATACTTTTGCTCGAGTTTTGTTCAGAACAATTGTACTGCAATTGTGTCATCAGCTTCATGTAATGAGAAGCGGAACTTTGCACCAAGAACTCTCACAGCTCATAGCCAAACATCTCGTTGCATCACAACAGTCCCCAGAAGATGACATCGCATAATTACTTATAATCTCCCTTCCTTCAATGGGACTCTTGAGCACCTCAGTGGTGCACATTTTATGGCTACTTTCTTACTTGAATATGCTTATGAGTCCAGAGATATCACATTTGAAAAAATGGATATATTTGACACTATGCACATCAGATGATTGCTCCAACTATTGTGTAACCGACCAACTACTTAATTATATTACAGGTGTGCAAAATAACATGAACAGCAACGGTAATTCGCCACTAAATGGTAGTGATATAACCAGTGATTGGGCCAGGCTGGGTGCACTTTAAAGCCATGTGAGGAGATGATAATACGAAAGGCGCATTTCATCCAAGGATCCCAAAGAGACTGCTCTTTGGCAAAAGGGTAACGCGACAGGCCCAGGTGTTGTGGGGTAACTGGCAGAGATGACTCGCAGATGCACCGCTGCCACTCCCCACCACGACAACTCAGTGGTGGTGCGTGCGTCACCCCACCCAACTGCGCCAACAGACTTGGAACTGGATTTAGGGGCCATCCATTTATTACGCACGCAAAAAGCTGTCGAAACTTGGGCACTCCCCCCCCCCCCCCCGCCCTGTACGCACGCGTACTTTTTACACCCCCACATGCGTGCGTACGCTTGACCCCCCCCCACCCGAATCCTATAGAACGGACGACATTTAATCCACGCAGAAACGATCAAGGATTAATCATATTCACGTCTTAAGCAAACAGTCAACCGCCGGACTATCTCACTCGCTTGAAGGCCAATGTAGACATTATTATGGAGGCTTCACCCCCCCCCCCCCCCCCCGCTTCCTATGCGCACCTTGTCAGTAGACCCCCCCATACGCAAGCGTACGCATTTGGGTTAACCCTTTGTGTTTCACTAAATAATGTGGACTTCAATCAAATATCCTTCCCCACTGCCAAGTATGCGTCTTGCAGGTGGCAGCTGGCACGAAAACAAAACAAGCCATTGTAACGCTTATTGCTGCATCTTCTTGTGGGCTTAAACTGGACAGCCGCTGCTCAATGCATCCAAAACCGTGATGATCGAAGCACCTCGGCGACACCATGTTACGCACGTCCGTGTGCCTGTTGCTTAACACAAGACATACCAAGAAGCAGGCAAAATACTGAGTGCACAATTCATGGTCCTCGAGCGAAGTCTTCTTCCTGGTTGAACAGCAGAGTTAGCAGTAATACGCTCACGGCGAGGTTAGGGAGCGCTGCCGCTGTCCCACTGGTTAGCGAGTGAGCCAGTTGACGGATTAAAAAATATCAGAATAAGAATATTTATTTATACTGGAGGAATCCGATGAGCTATAAAGCTATTTTCCATAAATGTCCAATAGAGGCGGGTAAGAACGTTACATCAAGAAACAGTACAAAAACACGATTGTAGTGCAAAGTACAAGCAAGGTAAACAAATCACCCAAACACATGAATAAAACTAAACCATCCCCATCCTACCAGCAAAGCCCACTGAGGTATTAACGTATTTTTCAGAAGTGGCCTGGCCACAATTGATAGCTCAACAAAGTGGCCCATCATTTGGACATTCATAGCACCAAAATTATCTAAATAATCTCAATGCATACTCTTTGGTTCTTTCGGTAAAGTCACGTATGTAGAAAAATAATAGATGACGACGTTTCGATCGCAACGCATGCAATCGTCATCGAAACGTCGTGATCTATTATGTTTCTACCCACGTGACTTTACCGACAGAACCAACGAGTATGGATTCCTGCAGTCACAAAAGCTTCAAATCAAAATATCAATGCATATTTCTAAATGTATATCTGAAACGCTGCAAGCGATACGATTGAAGCGGGCAGTGCCATCTCGGTGCAACATCTCCCTCCAAGGTGCCACTTTCTCATTCACTCATCAAGCCTAACACCACGATGATCCATTCTTTCAAAAGATGAATCAACATAACTAAATTTAACAACAGGGCCCTCACTTTAATTTTAACAGAATCGTCAAACTCATTGTCACCTCCAACCTGCCAAAATATCTGACAGCTCAACGAGTGTTTGGCTTATGGAACATCATAAAAAAAACGAATGCACATGCCTTTACCACTGTCACCATCACAGTCACCTCCACTCCGCCAAACCACATGCTGAACTGCCCTTGCTGATCACACGTTGGATCTGATGCCACAAAATGACCGAGAGCTCACCAATTGCATAATGCCACCCCTACTGTCATTCACCCCGTCAGATAACTTATCGGGCACCTCTTTTTTTGAGCACGAGGTGACTCGCGCATCAACGCCCCCAATTTGTGGGGGCGTTGATGGGTTAATGCCCGCTTTCTGAGACCAAGCTAATGGGACACCACCACTGCATGAGACAACTGTGTCAATGAGCAGAACTTAAGCTACAACAAGGGATCAACTGGACACAGACAAACACATACGCAGCCACAAATGTATACAAACTAATGTCTATGACTAAATCGCCCAGGATGAGTCAAGAGCTCATTAGCTAACCAAACTTGAGGATAGTGCTTTGATGGGTGACCACCATTCACAAACAGGTGTCATGGGCTGTCAGGTGAACTCAGTGCTACAAATCAATTGGTTCACTGTACTTTGCTCCCCATCTTCACCAACCCACACTGATAAGTGTGACGAAGCAAAGATCCCCAATGCGGCCTTTAACAGATGTTGGGGCAAGTGCTGTTAGCGAGCATGACACACGATGGGGGTGGGTGGCCAGCACCACGCCTTTGTCTCCCTCGTGACAATCTTTACACATCGTACCAGGTTCCCATTTAAGGCTGAGGCGACCTATGGAAGGCTTCGGACCGGTTCAAAAAAAGTGAGAAACATACACACACATGGCCCTTTCACAAGAACACACTTCGGCATCCGAGGGCTCACAAGCAGCCAGCAGTAGTGGAAGCAGCAGTGGCAGCATAGGAATGAAGGCCCAGGCATAAAGAGAAGAATACATGAAAAAGAAAGCAAAACACAATGGCTCTTTGATATTTAAATGCCCAAAACACAAAGCGAATCCGGGAACCCAACCGCATTCAACTTTGCACCAACAACCGGTGGGGGCCGTGCTCACAATTCCACCGACGGCCTAAACTCGAACGCAAACTCGCACGAACTCAAGATTTCTACCATTCATCACCAGCAATGATCTATCCACTGCTGGCTTGAAGTCCTCATCACGCCGTCGCCAATGTTGCTAGCAAACCATTTCCCCGCTCCATCTCCTGCAGGGGTGGAGCTGTGGCGCGTATTCTCCTTATATGACAAAAATACATTAATAACAATGATTCTGCGCAGCCCTTTCTCAATCTACTGCTGGATGAAGGCCTCCCCAACGCTGTCAATCACTGTAGTTGTTAGACATATACTTCAACCACGCATGTTTAAAAGTGGGGTGGGGTGGGATGTGGTCCCAAGGACCGCTACCAGATCATCACTCGCCACTGATGTTAGCCGTGACCGGGAAATCCAACTACAGTTCGATCCTTCAAAGTGTGGTACCGCCAACCACTGCGCCACCGCTCCACTCCTCTGTAACATTATCTCTTAATATATAGGCGAGGTGTTTGAATCGCAATGTGTATACGACTGCCAGTTAAAAGTCCCGGTCTGATGTGGAGTTGTAACTTAGCCCGTGGGAAGCCAACAGCGAGTTGTTGTCATGGCTAAACTTGTCCCGAGCATAGGAACGTGGAATTCCCACCACTGGCTTGACGCAATCACCTAAATGAGTCGGCGCAGTGATAAAACAAAACTCACGAGTGCGTCGAGGAGCGGTGGCGCAGTCGGTTAGCGCACCGCTCTTCGCAACATTCCGAATTAGCGGGCTAGGGGCCAAGAACATCATCTAATATTCTAATTGATCAGAACCCATCGTGTGCCTTTCTCTGGCAGCAGTAGTAGCAGCAGCAACACAGCCGCAAAGCACCAACCACTCCTCCATTCACTGCACCAGCGTGGTGTGAAGTCGGGCTCAACACAACAACAATAAAACACAATATAACGGAGAGCCCTCTTCATTAACACGCGACGACGAGGTGCGGGGCGATACGGCGACGGCGTTTTCCATCCAAGCAGTGGAGGTGTAGACACACACACACAACACACAAAGCGTGCTGCTTACACGCGTACACATTCTTCCTCGTTGTTATTTACCTTCGGCAAACTCTCGATGGAGCTCCGCCAACTGCGCCCTCACCTCGGCGGGCAAAGCGCCGTTCTTCTCCGCCTCGTCCATCGTCGACTTCCACCACCACCACCACCCCCCCGCCGCCCTCTTCAACCGCCCACCCTAATCTCTCTATGCCGAGACCCCGGTTAAAGATTTCCACAAACGACGGCGACGACGGCGACAACAAAACTCGCTCCAAACAAAACTAACGCCGCAACGACAGCCAACAGCCAAAGCAAAACGCCAAACTAAAGAATAAATAATATTCTCGTGGCGTCCGCGCCGGGAGTGACGGCAAAGCGACCCAGACGGCAAACGGCGGAGCCTTGATGAGGAGGAGGAGGCGAGACAGGCGGATTCGGATTGGGGCGGGAGGAGTGAAGTTGGATTCCGCCTCCATCGCCCTCACCACGCCTCCTCTCCTCACCACGCCTCCGTCTCCTCCTCCTCACCACGCCTCCTCCCCTCACCACGCCTCAGTCTCCTCCCCCTCACTACGCCTCCTTCCCTCACCACGCCTCCTCCCCTCACCACGCCTCCGTCTCCTCCCCTCACCACGCCTCCGTCTCCTCCCCCTCACCACGCCTCCTCCCGTCACCACGCCTCCGTCTCCTCCCCCTCACCACGCCTCCTCTCCTCACCCCGCCTCCTCACCCTGCCTGCGCCTCCACCCGCGTCGAGGGAGGCGGTGGGGGTCCCCGGCTCGCCCCACGTGCCAGGGACCCCCCCCCAGAGCCCCCCCCCCCCAGAGCCCCCCCCTCCAGAGCCCCCCCCCCACCTTATTCAATTAAAACAGAAGCATCAACAGTGTTCTACGTTTCGATTTAAAGCTTTCGTGACTGCAAGGATTCATCTTCTTTCGTTCTTTCGGTAAAGTCACGTAAATAAATTGATAAAATAAAATAACACAATATTATTGTGTTATACGGTATATATAACCAAAGAAGAGTGTTCTACGTGCTCACACCTCCTTCATGAATGGAAAATTAAAGCTGCAAGCCACGGTTCGACTGTGGCCATGCTGGCCGAAGCCACGGGCCGTATAGCAAAGCCATAGAGAGAACACAGAGACTCGTAGAGATGCATATACATTGAAAATTCAAGCCAGAGTGCGATTGTGGTCATGCAAACCAACCTCTGGGCCCCTGTAGTCTGAGCTCCATAGCTGTCAACCCATACGATTTACCCGTATTCATGTACGGGGAAATTTCGTTTTTTTAGTCCATACGGCGTACAGCCGTTTCAAAACGGGAAATTTTATTTTGTCTTTTTGTTTGTGTTTCTCCCTTGTGATGGGACTTTGTAGGATGAACGTTGAGATGTATAAGGGCACTGGGTGACCAATACAGTCTGAATTGGCCTGCACTGATAAGGGGTTGGCAGGTATGGAGATTGTTCAACTGAGGAATGGCAAAACTACACCAACTCTCTTCTAAAGCCCTCTCGTCGTGGCTAGGAGACCTTGACATTGTTATTTAGCTCATGAACAGATTGTCGCGCGCAATAACACAATAGTATTCGGTGATTGCTGCTGCTGCCACTGATGCTTCATTGGCAGTGGTGCATGCGCACAGAAAACAAACTACTCAACGCATTCGTCGATAGTACTGCGAGGAAAACATATACCTCTTTCATAGCAAGGTCTGCTACCTGAAACGTCACCGAATATATATTTTACCTTTTAAGGTAACACTGGTATCGATTAATGTCTTGAGTTTTGGTTAATCACCTTGGATCCCTACCGACTTGATTTGGGATAATTGCGCAAGCAATACAATAATAAGTTGATGATGCAAATACTGGACATGTTTTTACTTCACGACAACGGTCAACCCATAAAAAATGTGCTACTGGTATTTTAGGATTTTCACTTTTCATAAAATTGAGTTTATGTATAATAATTTCATTTTATAGAGCGTAATTCATGCAATTGCATCCTACAACGCTGCACATCAATTATCCAGTTCTTATATAATACAATTATCCAGTTCTAATATAATACAAAAACAAAACCCCACTGCTTGGCAAATGAAAACAAATAATTAAATAACGATAAAAATACACGTAACTATAAAAAAAATAATCGCAGAGAAAATTAATTCAAATAAATAAATCCGTTCGGTCTCCAGACCACAATCCCAACATTTCGCTGGATTTTGGAGAACCTTCGCTGGAAGGGTATGAACACCTTTTCCATCAGGACAGATTTTTTTAATGTAATTCTCATCAGGCCCCGTGGTGTAAAGTGCAGTCCCCCGACTCTCATCTAGATTCTCTCTCTCTGGCCTTCTCTACGTATGTGGCATGATGAAGGGTTATTTCCCGAAGCGTCACCTGTCTTTCCATTTTAGGCCACAGTGTTATTGACGAATGTGTTGAGTTACATCATGTATTCGCTCTGCTTTATGAGGTGGAAATAACAAAAAAAAGGAATAACAAATAAACAACCATTACATTAAATAACACTGCATTTGAATTTAATAAAACATCGTTTGTAATAAAATAAACACTGCATTCAAATGGAGTCAATCGCCAACAGAATGCCATGGGGCTGTTGAGTTGCGTTAAACGATTACTTATTTTTTTTTATTGCGGAGAAACGAGTTCTATATGAAGGAGACATTGCTTTCTATTGTTTTGCTTTTGTTCACAACAATGCCAATTTAGTATTTTGTCCATAATAGAGCTTTTAGTCTTTTTTTATATTCTTTGGTTCTTTTGGTAAAGTCGCGTATATAGAAAAATAATAATTATAAATAAAGTGAAAAAAAACACGTTTCGATCGCAACACAAGTGGTCGTTATCAGGAAAAGGGGAGTTAGCCTCAAAAGACAGTCATGAAAGCTTTAAATCAAAATGTTTATAAAAGGTTTAGAGATGGGCGTTGCCCAAGTGTTTCAGCAGCATGGGCGGGGCAGCTAATGTTAATGTATGAGAAAGCAACTAACGGGCAGTGGATCTCCACCAATCAAAGGGCTCGCCAGGCAATCATAGCGCCTCGCTCCACAGAAGCCCCGCCTACTTATACAAGTGACCCCGCCCCTTTTGTTAACAGCCTCGCCCACTTCGCGGCCATCCCCTCCGCCATTGTTAATTGCGGCTCCGCCTACACTTTATCTGGCACCGCCCACAGTCATCGTAGCCGCGCCCACCATCGCGAGGCCCCGCCCATCCAGGCTACTTGATATTTGTAAATATTGTACGGTTACTCCTCTACTTACGAACGAGTTAGGTTCCAGAGGTCTGTTCGTAAGTCGATTTGTAAGTAAATCCAACTTACACCCGTCGATTGTAAACATGCTGTACGGCATGTACACTAAACACGGAGGGTGGCTTTAAAGTTGTAAAATCCCCTGTAGATGTAGATGGCACTGGTTCTTCATGTTCTGCAGATGTAGATGCCACCACTGCCATCTATTGTGCAGTGGGCAACGAGACATACGGACAGGGTTGTTCGTATCCCTGAGAGTTCATAAGTCGAGTGTTTGTAAGTAGAGGGATCTCTGTACAGTACAGTATTTTCTTCTTTGGTTCTTTCGGTAAAGTCACGTAGAATGAGAATAAAATAATAAAATAACACAATAAAATTTGTGTGGTTATAAAAGTCACGTCGAATTGCCTCTCCCCGCTTTAGTCAGAATTGCGATCAAGATAAAATGAAACAGCGGTGGAAATTCCACGTAATTTATGGGATGGGGAGTCTGTCTTCCCTTAGAATGACAACTATTTGGCTCATCATTAGACCTCCTTTGCAGTACCAAAATGTAATAATAGGGTTTTTCCCCTTTTTTGGCAACAAAACTGAAACCTTTTTACAAGGATTCATGTCTGCATTAACCACAATACCTTCAGTCAAAATGCAAACAAAAAACATACTATGATAATATATGCATTGTCCTTGAAACTGATTGGTCCACACCAAGGGACAGCTTTCTTTTGAGCCTCGACCCCATTGGTGCTCGACCAGATGACGCCAAAAGGCGTCACACAGCTCAAAGACAATGCACTATCAAAGTAATGAGGGCTCGGGTGAGCATCTACATCATTAGACCTCCTTTGCCAGTACCAAAATGTAATAATAGGGTTTTTCCCCTTTTTTCTGGCAACAAAACTGAAACCTTTTTTACAAGGATTCATGTCTGCATTAACCACAATACCTGCAGTCAAAATGCAAACAAAAAACATACTATGATAATATATGCATTGTCCTTGAAACTGATTGGTCCACACCAAGGGACGGCTTTCTTTTGAGCCTCGACCCAATTGGTGCTCGAACAGATGACGCCATTTGTTGCCAGAAAAAAAGGGGGAAAACCCCTATTATTACAACTATTTGGCTGATCATCAAAATGGTGTTAATTGTATATTCTTGGTTCTTTCGGTAAAGTCACGTAGAAGGGAAACAATAAAATAATAAAATTATGTGTTGATTGTGTTGACCTCTGATGTATGATAGGATAAGTAAAAAAGAAGTGTGTATCACATCATATACAAGCGTATTTCATTGCAATTGCTTTTGTTTGCATCCAGACCTATAGAGAATGTATACTCCAAGTCTTTACCTCGACGACAATACATTTCCAAAGGCAGCTGTGAAAATCAATCAAATTAATTTAAAAAATCATGTTTATCTGGGAAAGCCTCTCGAAGTCTCAAGACTATTTTTGAAATGTCCCACATTGGGGTGATGGCAAATTCCGTTTGAAGGAATGTTTTGCTTTCATGTGGGAGGAAACTTGAGTCATCGTCAACATCTTCTTCAACAGCCATGATCGGTCCACTGCTCGATGACCGTCTCCCCAGGACTGTTCTGCAATGCCAAAATTCATGGCACGCCTACGCATGAGCTTATTTCATCACTGTGGTGATTGTTATTTTTTTCGGGCTAGTTGACATTCTGTCATCAGTCTCATCCATCGGCCAATGACCCTTTAAGTTACGTGTCCTCTCCAAGGCAACTTACTTTCCTTAACTTACAATACGATGTCCACAACGTGCGGTTGTTCCCCGATCCGTGTGTTCCTCTTTATATCTCTCATTGTAATTATCAGTATGTATCTCTCCGTGCTTTTTGTATACTCTATGACTGTTTATCATTTGCCGGCGTCCACGTTTCAATGTGACATAGTAGGCTACATGCAATGATTGAAAAAAAATCCTTCATAAGTGCATTGTTACATTGCTTTCCATGATTAAATTCAGTTTTCCAAATTCAACCTGCTCTCAAAACTACATTTCAGCATTTTGATCCCAGTCTGCTTTCAATAGTTTCAATTCAATAATCAGCACTCCTGTGTTGTCTTTCCATCGTATCCTGCCTTCAATTACTTTCATCTGTTCAACCAACTCGTTGCAACTGGAAACCAGAGTACACAGATACGCTCCACCACGTATACGAAT